GGTTTAAACTGCCGACCTGTGGGTTAGCAGCTGACCACTTCAACCACTGTGCCACCAAGGCTCCCTAAATGCAGAACAGAATTTCAAATTTCTCATGGAATCCAGGTTTTCTGGAGCCATGGAGGGTGGATGAACCCCTTAAACTATTGCCCTGAGACAATTTTTAAACCTAAACCAAAAATACCCTCTGAAGTCTTCTTAAAACCAGACAATAGTTCAGCTTAATTAGTAAAAAATGTCGGCCTTGAACATTATGTTCTTTTAAGAACTACCCACATGGGATCGAAGGGACAACAGCAACTCGAAAGATGAGCCAGGATCTCGAGGGGGCAGTGAGTTTATGTTAAAGGGGGAGGAACAGCTCAGGAAAGGATGGTGAGAACGTCTGCGTAACTGGCAGAATATAATCAACGTCACTGAAATGCACATGGAAAAACCTGAATTGGTGTATGTTTTTGCCGTGTGTGTTCTCAACGACAAAATAATTAAAAAAAAAAAAAAACTGTTGAGAATTTCAAGATGGTTACAGCAGAGCCTCAAACCAAGCGGGGGAGCTTCTGAGCATGGGTCTGTGTGTCTGCAGGGGTCATACCCCCGGGAAGCCGCTCTGCCCCCTCCTCCCCTTCCCAGCACCCGCCACCAGGTAACAGCCCACCTAACGCACTTATTTACGCCTGTGGTCTGTCTCCCCAACTAAACCGCCAGCGCCTCGTGGACTTTTTCCTCCTTTCACCCATGGCACAGATCCTAGCAACCAGGAGGAGCTCGGTGAGTATTTGTTGAATGAATGAATGAATGAGCGAATGAAAACCAGTAATAACGCTGACGGTGGTGGTGGTGGTAGAGACAAAGGAGGGTCCGCTACCCATCACCACTTCCCCATGAAGTTGGCCTCTGCATTATTATCCCATTTCACAAACGGGAAAACTGAGCTCAGAGGGGTCAAGTGACAGACCCAAGGTCCCGCAGCTGGTGAAGCAAAGGATTCAGGGTTTTCCGGGTACAGACTCACCCCCGGCCTGAGAGCTAGGCTCCGGCCCCTGCGTGAGCCCCTCCTTGCAGGCTGTGGTGGAAACTGCCGCTGAGGCTGCAGCTGACTGCAGGCCTCTGCAGGCTTGGCACACATCTGCGGCTTACCCTGCCTCCTGGGTAGGGATGAACACCCCGCCGTGTTGCAGACCGGGAAGCTGAGGCTGGGGGAGGCGTATCGGGGCATGGGTCAGATTGAGGGCAACGGGTCAAGCTGCTGGCAGGTGACTGCTCTGCTGACCAGCCGCTGGGCAGCCCCAGGCAAATAGCTGAGTCTCCCTGACCGTCAGCTACAGCAGGGCCCACCGCCACGGGCCCCAGAGGATTGAGGCCTACGGTCCAAAGGGGTCCACGGCACGGGACAGAGTGACCTGGTCAGGGGAGATGCTGCTGCCATCAGCGTCAGCACCCTCACTTCCTCCTCCCCATGTCCACGTGAGTCACACAGCAAGGGGCCGCCCTCAGGGAGGCTTGGCATTTCAATGTCCACACCTGTAACACAGGACCCAGAATCCCTACCCCGCCTCCAGTCCAAAGAGACTGCTTTGAAAGAAAAACTAAACATTCCTTCCCAGGGCTCACACGCTTGGCAGGGACAGAAACTGGGGCAGTTTTTTGCAGAGCAATTTGGCAATAAACCGGCCCCTGAGAATGTGTGTTCCCTTCCCGCAGCAGGGCCCCTTCTCGGTACCCAGGAGGCGCCCGGCACCAGCCCAAGGACCCATGTGTCTGCCATTCTCAGCAGCACCCTAGAAGAGTGAGACATCAGGAACACCTCAGTGTGCACCCACAGGGACAGAACTGTGTTCAGTGTCCTCCAGACCGCGGCCCACGCGCACGGTGAGGAGGAGGACCACACCCCGCCCACAACTCTCCCCACCACACAGAGAAGTGACCCTGTTTACACGGAACAATGATGTTTATGCCAACGGTAACGCTGTTTATGTGAAAACAATCAAATACAGCATGACACCCATGCTAAGAACGGATGAGGTTGAAGGGCACCATTTTATGAGTCGACCGTCAGCAACTTCATATGGTACAAAGTAGCAAACACAGAGGACAAGCTGGAAGAAGACCGTCTGAGGGCTTCATGGAGATTCGAACACCTTTACAAGGAGAGTGAACTCACGTGCACAACTCAAAACAGACGAAACACTACTCGCAATGGCCAAAAGGTGGAAACGACCCAAATGTCCATCAACAGATGAATGGACAAACACACTGCGGTATGTCCGTACAATGGAATAGTATTCAGCCCTAAAAAAGGACGAGGTTCCAATGCACGCTACCGCAGGGATGAACCTACTGAGTGAAAGAAGCCACAAGACGAACACGTCCTATATGATTCCATTCCCACGACAGCCCAGAACAGAGAAATCCAGAGACAGAAAGCAGATTCGTGGTTGCCAGGGGGTGGGGGTGGGGGAATAGCGAGTGACTGCTAATGAGTGCAGGGTTTTCACTCGGGGCGACGAGAAATGGGTGCAAGGTTTTCATTTGGGGCAAAGAGAAAGTTCTGGAACTAGACAGTGGTGATGGTAGCACAACATGAATGTCACTAAACGCCTCTGAATTGCACACTTTAAAATGGTTAAAGTGGGAAATTTTATGCTATTATGTATTTATTTTGCCACAGAAGTTCCTGGGTGGTACAAACAGTTAACACACTCAGCTGCTAACTGAAAGGTTGGAGGTTCGAGGCCACCTAGAAGTACCTCGGAAGAAAGGCCCGGCCATCCACTTCCAAAAAATCAACTGCTGAAAACCCTGCAGAGCACAGTTTCACTATGACACACCTGGAGTCATCATGAGTGGGAGTTGACAAGAAGGCAACTGGTAAACTCGTTATTTTACCACAACACGTATACACTATACATACATCCGGAGCTGGCGGTTAAGAGCTCGGCCGCTAACCAAAAAAAAGGTTGGCAGTTCTAATCCACCAGCCGCTCCTCGGAAACCCTATGGGGCAGTTCTACTCTGTCCTATGGAGTCTCGATGAGTCGGAATCGACTCGACAGCAACGTGTCTGGTTTTTGGTTCATGTACACATGGAACAAATACGGAGCCCGGCACGTACCACCATGGTGAGGGGATCGTCAGTGCTCAGCCAGCCTGGTCTGCGGCAGAGCTGGGGGACAACAGAGAGCAGAAGGTGAGGCCCAGCAGCCCGAGCCTTCCCTGGGGCCATAGCCTGGCCAGGCTCAGCAGCAAACACCATGAGGGCGGCTGACAGTCGGGGCCACCACTGTCCCCAGGTCTGAGGGGTCCCCCCAACTTCAGCCAACAGCCCCCAGCAGTTGCCACGGCAACACATCCAACCCTGGCCTGCAACCCCACCCAGGCCACTTTTCACAGTATCTGTCACAAGGCCTAGGCGGCATCTGCCAGGAACCCTGCTCCCTGGTGAGGAGTGGAGGTGCCTCCTTTATGTGCCCCCCCACCCATGGGCCTCCCCTCAGGAGACTCTGCTGCCCCCCAGGGCCTGGGTTCAAATCCTGCCTGGCCCCGAGCCACGTGACACTCCTTTCTGCACCTATTGCCACAGCCCCAGCACTGCTCCGGACAGACAGTGGGGAGCCAACCCCG